CCCCCCCCCCCCCCCCCCCTTCTCTCTCTCTCTCTCTCTCTCTCTCTCTCTCTCTCTCTCTGTGTCTCTCTCTCTCAATGAAGGTTTATTTACACAGGAAAGAACTTCTACAAAGAAAAAATCAAGGAAAAAGGAAATGGAAGAAGATATTTGCCCACTATTGCATTAATGTGAACATGGCGGCCAACTAGGCTGCAAAAATAAGAATCAATTGAACAAAATTGAATGACTGATTATCTATCTCCACTATGAAATAGTTCGTACATAGAAAAATGGGGAGAGACTCTCAAGCTCAGCACGTTTTCGGGACGCTCTTCTAAAAGGCTTCCGGTTTCTCCATAACAAACGCTCAGTTCCACTAGAACGCTTCAAACTATCACTGTCTGCAGGCACCAATGTCTTCCTCTTTCTGGACTTGGGTTTCTTCGATTTTCTTCGCAGCTCTGTGCGGTGTGGTGAAGGTGTTTGAGGCTCTTCCAATTTGCTGCCACTTGATCTGTCAAAGCATCACAGGAAAAATAATGAGAAAAAAAAAAACAAATTAGAAACAAGTAATAGCCTTACAAAATGGTCTTTTAACTGAATCATCAAAGGAAAAGATAACATTTGCATTAATTAGTTTGCTCTAGTCGCACATAGCTCAAAATGGTAGGGTCCTAAATGATGAAACATCATTTCCATATTCCTCTAATACCAACAGTCACCCATTAATACAACAAACATTATTTGCTTCCAAATTCAGAGCAATACCTATGGTGCCCTCTTCAAATTCTACTAATTCTGCTAGAAAATCTACGGGGTAAAGCACAATTGTAGTCCAGGAGCGTGATTATAATGAATGAGAGGAGGTCATGCTGTTATCAAGAGAACATGATTTAAAAAAAGAAATATTTTTGTTGAGGATCTGATTCATGAGAGGAACCATTGAATCAGACACTAGGACGTGTGTGCTATATCATATGTCCTTGACAGTAGAGATAATTAACATATAAACTGTTTTGAATTAGCAAACTAAGAGCATATATAGTATAATTCTAATGCGCTCAGCCAAAAAACTATTACAAGGTAATACGGAGGGGATGGAGTGGGATCATCTGATTCAAATTAAAGATGGATGCATCCTACAAAACAGCGAGGGCATGAAAAAAGTCGTGATTGCCCTTCATTAACATGGGTTATGGCTGCTGACAGAGCTAAATGCACAGCAAAGGCTATGTGCAGCTGACCACAATTCGATAGGATAGGTGCTTTTGTCAGGCGGAGCTCTCATAAATTAAACATTAACATAAAATACACTTGCCTCTCCTGAGTCAACGATGGCGATGCACATAAATCCACATCCGTTTGAAGTTTACATGCAGGGCAGAAGTAAATCTTTGGTGGCAAAGATAATTTAATGCAATCAAAGTGATACCATTCATCACATTTATCACAAGCAATCATTGCTCTTTGGTCATAGGGCTTCCGACATATGCAGTAAAGCATACTTCGATCCCTCAACAACTGCACCCACCAAAAATACAGAAGATCAACACGAGATCAAGCTTGGAGTCAGACAAAGAAAGTATTTTTTTACCTTAAGTTCCTTGTCAAATTGAATTGTCAAATTTTCACCCTCCATCATAAGTTCAAACACTTTATCCAATCCAAGTGCCCCAGAATCCACCGAAACCTGTTCAAAGGAAGACAATAGAGTTAAACTAAAGAGTCATTGTAAAACATACCATAGAATAGGTAAGCAATATATTGGACCTTCTTGGCTTTATCTGCCCACTGCAAGCCAATGTGCCTCACTTCTGTGAGTCTCTGCCTGAAGTAATCTTCTGGAGGTATGCTTATGGCAAGTCCCTGAAACATAATTATTATAAACTTAATATCTAGGACAGTTGAAGAAAAAAGTTGTGATTTAGGGTTACACGTACACCAGATGATGTTTATGTTATTCTTATGGATGATCCAAAACCGCAAATGAACATCATTCTAACCACTCTATCACTCTGTCCACCCATAAAATTGTGGTCCAGTAATTTTTCATCAAAAAAATTCTCTTCAAGGACCACAAGCTGAGAGAATCCCAGATGACACCCAAAGCAGGTTAAATTTCTTACTGGCAAAAAAGAAAAGATTAAATAAATAATTACATAATTTGCAATTATAACTGGAGCTTTGCAGTAATACAGTGCCCACATACAGCCTCTACTCAATCCGATATCATCTTTTGGATGCATCAACAACCTCGAGACAACTGAAGACAAGACATCATTCAAGCATTAAGCCCTTATCCATGCCAAGCCACTTAATTCGTTAGAATTTGTCAATTTATAAATTTTGCATTTATATGCAAGGAATTGTTTTTTTTTTTTCCTTTTTTGGTTTGTGCTAAACATTGGAATGCAAGCTATCAACCCTGAAAAAGTCATCTAACAAAGGCAAGTGGTGCGAAAAGACGAGATGTTAATCCTCCACCCAGTCCATCCACCAAGCAACCTCAATGAACAGGACCAAGATTGAAAATTGCCTTACTGGAGGTCTTACAACAGCACCTTAGTGCTATTTAAACATGTCAATTTATGCAGCGATTCTAACTGATACAGGATTTTGAAGCCGATATACCAACTGGTGTAACAACACGTGAAGGATAAAGTTGACGGTTCGCCCAACTTTTTCTTACATCAGAAAGGAAATCTCCAAAGAATTACCAAAATGGTAGAATGACATCACAATAAGCTGAATCATATGAATGGAGGGAGCGGGAGTGAGAGACGAGAGCAAGAGTTGGGAGTGTCAATTTCTAAATTACAAAAATCAAGATCGCCCAGAGCATCCATTTAAAAATGTAATTTAGTTTCACTTTTTAATTATCTTTTATTTTATAACACAAAAATTTGTAGCTTATTTTAAAATATAATATTGGTTTAGAAAAAAAGCAATCCAGTTCTACTTGGTGGCAGATGTCCTGTCCAATTAGCAAAGACGTCAATGGTTTGAGTCCATGTAACGACTTTACACATCATTTTCCTTATGGTTTTCATCATAGAGAAGCTCTGGTATGTGCAACTCTGTAAGCACTACGCATAGGAGGGGATCATTCTTTAGCAACAAATTCTCTAAATATTCATGGCTTCAGAAAAACAAGCACAAAGTTATTGTAAATTGGCTCCCAATGTGTTGATTCATGCTTTGGAAGCACATTTATCCTCCAAGGTAAATGATTTGGGGCACTCTGAAAAACAAAAAATGAAACAGGAACAATTTTGACCTCTCACTTGAATCAGCATTTCTATTCACGAAAAATAGTAGTAGTACACATAATGTTCCTAAAAAATGGAAGTACATGTTATTCAAGTCTTTATCAATAACTGTCAGCAGATCTACTGCGGAAATAGTTTTTACAGGGACTTATACTTTTAGTAAATGAAGTGTCTGCAACTCGTAAGTGCACTGCTGGTTGGACCTGAAGCAGGAACCATTAACATCTTTCCAAACTAAGATATGCACTGCATGCAAAGTGGAACATCTTGCATATTACATCTCAAGAAAATTATAGGAGTTTAGGGTTAAAATTTTTTCCTCTTTTCCTTTTTTAAAGTGCACAAACAACAAGATCATTTTGTTAGAAAATCAATTGGCAATGGATGAAATGACTCCTCAAGTATATAAACTAACTTGACATAAGTTCTCTTAACACCCTCCCTCACATGGCATTCGGGCTGGCACGTGGAGTCGCAAACAAACAAACAAATATGTATATCGGGAAAATCCAATGGGTAAAAGACTTGGCCCAAATTTAACCACCCAAGGCCCAACATTGGCACTATGTTAGAGCATCCAACCCAAAATCAATTAGCAATGAAGAGAGTGGTCCCTCACGTATATAAACAAACCTTGGTGGTCCTAATTAATCATTGTAGAATACAAGGTCTCTTAACACCCTCCCTCAGATGGGACCCGGGCCCGTGAGGTCAACAAACAAACAACCATTCATATCAAGATCCAAATGAGTAAGAGACTTAGTCTAATGATCATCCAAGGTCCAGCTCTGATACTATGTTAAAGAATCCAACCCAAAACCAATTGGCAATGGGTGAAGTGCCCCTTCAAGTATATAAACCAACCTTAGTGGTCCTAATTATTAGATGTGAGATACAAGCTCTCTTAACACATTTCACTCTTTGAACATTCTATTGATACCCTAATTCTACAAAAAACTGACTGTTTCAAACCCTTTTGGCTGCTATATCATCTTAAGCTGTTCATCAGGGAAGGGTAAAATAGCAAAGAAAGTGCCAACATTAAATAACACCAATCATATGAATTCTAGATTTCTAGCAGCACAGAAAATGCCAACAGTTTATACCTCTTTTTTTTTTTTTGGGTGCTTTGGGGGGAACCACAGTAAGAGTTACCTGGGTTCCCTAATAAAGCTAAATACTAGACATGTCTGCCCTAAGCAAATGAACAATACAGTCAGGTGGTTCATCAAGAAAAACTAAATCAACAATACAATACAGTTTATACCGCTTTCAAATGCTGCTGAATTTGTTGAATCTTGGGCTTATGTGGACCTTCTAATAGTCCCTGGGCTGTGACTCTCCATGAATTTCTTGCTAATGCCAGCTCCAATTTGCAGCTACCTTGATGATCATATACACCTGCCACTTCTACTGCCTGTTTGCAAGAAAAAGTACTTCCAATCAGGAAGAGAAAACTGACCATGTTGCGGGCTGCAATAGACAAAAACATTGCAAACAGTAGTCCAGGAAATTAAGACTCAAGGCTGACTCTGTGCAATCAATTAGATGACGACGACAATATAATGATGGTGGCAGTGATACTGATGGTCATGGTGATGACGCTGATAGCCACAGACAGGAGAATCTCTGCCAGACCATGCACCATCACGAGCCTGGTGTACAAATGGATCCATCATGAGCAGCATATTTCTATAAAATAGTACAAAGCTACATAAAAAGTACCTTCAAAGCAACAGAAATATTTTTAGCAGCTATGCTGAGATCTTCATCAAGGTAACCTAACACAAAATCCACTCTCTCTGTTAACCAAGCTTTGCAGGCAACAGCTTTCTCAACAATNTTTTTTTTTTTTTGGGTGCTTTGGGGGGAACCACAGTAAGAGTTACCTGGGTTCCCTAATAAAGCTAAATACTAGACATGTCTGCCCTAAGCAAATGAACAATACAGTCAGGTGGTTCATCAAGAAAAACTAAATCAACAATACAATACAGTTTATACCGCTTTCAAATGCTGCTGAATTTGTTGAATCTTGGGCTTATGTGGACCTTCTAATAGTCCCTGGGCTGTGACTCTCCATGAATTTCTTGCTAATGCCAGCTCCAATTTGCAGCTACCTTGATGATCATATACACCTGCCACTTCTACTGCCTGTTTGCAAGAAAAAGTACTTCCAATCAGGAAGAGAAAACTGACCATGTTGCGGGCTGCAATAGACAAAAACATTGCAAACAGTAGTCCAGGAAATTAAGACTCAAGGCTGACTCTGTGCAATCAATTAGATGACGACGACAATATAATGATGGTGGCAGTGATACTGATGGTCATGGTGATGACGCTGATAGCCACAGACAGGAGAATCTCTGCCAGACCATGCACCATCACGAGCCTGGTGTACAAATGGATCCATCATGAGCAGCATATTTCTATAAAATAGTACAAAGCTACATAAAAAGTACCTTCAAAGCAACAGAAATATTTTTAGCAGCTATGCTGAGATCTTCATCAAGGTAACCTAACACAAAATCCACTCTCTCTGTTAACCAAGCTTTGCAGGCAACAGCTTTCTCAACAATTTGGCCAAGTATAATTTTTTCCTTGATGCTGTCAAGAGCAACCAAACCCATCCAGTGAAATCATATTTATCTCCATAATATAAACAAATGAACATCAAGATATATGCATCTGACACTGAAGAAACTGTTCAAGTTCTTAAGTACAATAGGTAATGAACCACCAAAATAAATTGCAAATGCCACATGAACAAGTGTGAATTAGTCAAAGTGAAAGTTTCAATTTGAGGATAGGGTTAATTAGGGCTAGGATTAAGTTATTACAATTTGGAGTTGACGATTTGAAAGATCTAGGTCTCAAATGCACCCAGTTTTTGGGTCACACCAACTAGATCGTTGGTGACTTGGTTGTAATGGTTTGTAGCAATGCTGGTAACACCTTATGAAACTTTAAGAATATAGACACCCACAAGCAGCACATAAATAACAGCTTTCTATTTTCCTGAATTCAGAATGCCACAAAATGGGTACCGTTCATCATTCCTATGAGCATATAAATTCCAAATAATTTTTCCAGGAAAAATAAAACTTGAAGTTGGGAATGAATAGGAGCCCAAGAAGTGCAACTCATCTAAAAACTTGAAGTGTGGGAGAGTTAAGATGGATGTGAGGTATAACAAGAAGGATAAGAGTTAGGAATGAATATATTTGTGAAATGGTACAAGTAGCACCATTTCTTGTGCTTGGGGAGAAATGGGCAAGCGGCAAATAATCCACTTGAAATCAATTTACTCTAATGCTTTGGCGCCAGTTCTCACATATGAAAAACTTATCATTTCATAAGTTCTTATTTATATATGCAGTCCATAAGATGGTCAAGGAAAGACCAATTCAAAAACATGGCAAGATGAGAACTTCTGACAATCGAAGAGTAAGATTTGCCGAGATAAAACTTTTAGCGATAGCACAAGCTTGGTGTCGAAAGAGATTTAAGAAGATCAGATAGCACAAGTTTGGTGTTGAAAGAGATTTAAGAAGATCGGGATTGTCATCATTACCATATAAAGCTAAACTCCAATCTCAGTATGCTAGCTCAAGTCGCAAGTCAAGTAGTAGAGATCCAGTGACAGACAGAAAGAAGAGTTAGACTAGAATGCAAGAANAACATACCAATATTAGGATGAAGTAGATCAAGTAGATGAAAAAATGCAATCTCTGACCACTTTGCTAGTTATTTGTCCCAATATTACTTTTCCAAATAATCCATCAAACCTTGACCCAAAAAATAGCGTATCCAACCCCGATATTACTGTTCACAACTTCACGATACTTGAATAGTGCTAGACTTTTTAGTTCTCTGTTGTCCTGCATCAACTTCTTTATGTAACTACCTGCAGGATTATTGCGTAGTTGAATTTTTATAAAACAATTTGAGATCATGGATAAGATTAACCCATTGAAGAAAACACATATATTGCGGAACATAGCCAATTACCCATTAAATTGTATAGGAATCATCATTGTTAAGCTTCTCACCACCATCCCATCTTAATACCACAAAACAATGTAGATTGGACCAGAAATTGAAAGATATCTATCGAAGCAATTTAGCATTCTTTATAAGCACATCAGCTCAAAACCCAATAGATTATAATCACCCAAAAACAAGTGGCATGTTGATATATTCAATCCCAAATAAGGTTACACAGAGGAATTCATACAACCTGCTATCCCTTTGCATTTGATTTTTTTTTAACCATCCTTAAGTATGAGATTTGTCTCATTTTGGTCCCCAATATGTTAATTATATCATTTTAGTCACTGAAATATTAAATATGTTTCTATGTAGTCCCTCGAGCAGATATCCAAATTGCTAACGATTTTTTATCATAAACTTGTCACATAATACTTAAATATGAGTAAAAAATAATTTGAGTAGCTCTTAACCAAAAATGTGTAATATAAGTAACTATTGACCAAAATTTGAATAGCTCATGAATAAAATTGTGTAATTTGGATAGCTCATTGACCAAAATTTAGGTAAAAATTTGGTCAACAATTATCTAAATTATTTTTTCTTCTCATATTTAGGTATTACGTGACAAGTTTATAATAAAAAATCATTAGCAATTTGAACACTGTCTACTTGAGAAATAACATTGAAACATGTTCAATACTTCAGACACTAAAATGATACAATTGAAATATTAGGGATTAAAATAAGACAAGCCTCATATTTTGGGGACGTCTAGTGCAATTAACCATTTGAAATATTGTCTTTTGACTAAGTTCTAAACTTCCAGCAATAGTATGAGTATCTGCCGACAAATCAAGGCACTTTCACAAAGCTTATAGACATCATAACACCTCCAGTTAGTCAGAAGTAAAACTTCAGAAGTTGTAGAAGAAATCTCCCTAAGCTTAAATGAATTCACACATATGACTTTGTAAGGCTAGATCTCTAGAACAAGCATGACTTAAAAAGTCCAGATATCAAGATCCATCCTTCATCAAGCAAGACATCAATACCGCATACCTATGAAGCATGGACACTCTCGAGAAGGTGACGTATCCGTGTCAGAAATGTGTCTGATACTCTCTTATCCATGTCCATAAATAAAATATTTTTAATTTCGGATACGTATTTGACACTTCTTTGGTGACATGTCCAATAGTTCTTTAGAACGTGTCTATAACTAAACAATAAACATGTGTTGAAATATGATTAACAAAGTTTAAAATTTTGAGAACATATAATTACTAATACTAGACACGTCAAAATTATACTCCAAATATAATAATAAAAACAAAAGATGCATAAAAGTTTTAAAAAAAAAAAAAGAATTGAAAAAAAGAGAGCACTTATTTAAATTATATATTAGGTACACATTGTTTACAAAAAATTTTTATGATTATTGACTATCATAATGATGCTTCAGTCTAAAAATTCACACATATGACTACACATAAGATTTAATTATCATAAAAACCTAAATCTTTTATGAATTGCATATCATTATCACTATATTTGTGATAAATTATATAATGTTATACATAAAATATAATTTTTTATAACATATCCGTGTCCTACTTTTTTGAAAAATATCGTGTCTGTGTGTCCGTGTCTGTGCTCCATACGCAAGCTTCCACCCCGACAATACCCCACAGAATGGTTTGAAGAAATATCCCTTCGATTCATGTTATTATCACCATCAAATAGAATAAAATGAACTTTAAGCAATCAAGAAAGTGCTTTCTGTCTTCGAAGTTTTTTTGATTAAGTTATTGTTTTCAAAATTATCAATAAAAGAATCTTATAGAACTGGAACTCAACAAATATGCTTGCCTCTGCCTCTTCCTTGTCTTTGAACCATTTTCCGCTGATATGGTAACAGAAGGAGATTTCTAAAACCATCCTAGCCATTAAAACCTTTTTGAAACATTTACTAAAACTTTAAATATCGTTGCGCAATATGATTATGAAGCACAAAGACTCGCCGCATACATAACAAAGCAATAACATACATTTTCTCCAAAATGAAACAAGGTGACAGCTCATTACCATATGCAGAGATCCTCTGCAAGCGATAAAAGCTCAATGAGGTCATTTAATTCAGGTTGTTTCCCTCCTATTCTCTGCATCATACAAACATAAAGACTGTCGGAGAGAAAATTCAAACTGTTTTGAGAAGGAAAATACGTTGTAAACTAAGTCACTAATGCGTACCAAAAGACCACTTCCGTTTCGAGAGATTTTCCCTTTTTTAGCACAGTGGCAAAATGGACAAATAAATATTGCTGCATCATTTGTATTTTCCAGTGCTGATCCAGAGCACCCCAAATGGAAGCTGTTGGCAGAGTAATATCGAAGACATGTGATGAGCAAAAGTAGTAGTGACATGCATATGCATTTTAAAATCACTCAATAAATGCAAAACCAGTTTTTAGATCCATGAAAAGTCCAAATAATAGTAGACTCTTAAACATCTCATTGATCATGAAAAGATAAAATGCCAACTTTGTGTTTTTCTATTTGGCCAACAAAATTGCCGCCAGATTACATCTAATAAATTATGGACGTTGATACCTTACCAGTCCATGCACAAGGAACAAGTCAAAAGCTCCTGATCCTTAATATCATTGCAGCAGAGAATGCATATACATCCTGGCTCGCGGCCCTTAGACTTATCATATATATACAAGGATCTATCAAGAGTACTTTTTATCTGCACATGGAAAAGATTCAAAATTATATATCCAAAATTGTAACTAAGCCATGAAACTTGAAGACTCAATAAAGATGACAACAGATAACAGTTGAAAAAACCTCAAGTAGAACATTGAGGTTTGAATTATGATCTCCAACAGAAGGCCCAGCAATTTCCTCAAACCGTTGCTTCCAGTGCTCAACCTTTTGTACTTCAGATGAGACCATGTCTAGCTCTGAGCAATTATAGGCATCCGTGCTCCCAAGTTCCTAATTAATATCAATCATAGTGATTAAGTGACCACAAAAATCGACCAAAGGGAGATATGATATCAACAAGTCAAGGAAAAAAATGTATTACAAGTGTGGCAGCATAAGCCTAAACAACAATCACTGCAACAAGCACCCTACAATTTAAGGTCCTGTAACCCTAAATATAAAGAAGGGAAAAAGACAAACCATCTAAACTTTGGAGAGTCCCCAACTTGGGTACACGAAGACAAAGAGAAACTTAATTGCTTTAATATAAAATCAGAAGTACAAGCTCATCAGCCACATAGCAGGACTCAGGAAGCCCAGAAGGTAATAAAAAATAACCACATTGTACATTTGAAGGATCAAAATCTTGAACGTTACTGTTTATGATACCAGACACAAACTACACCACAAGCCCTAAACCTAAACCCAAACAGAATCAACTTACAGTCTCATAACTTGAAACAACTCCAAAATCACTATTGCTTCAATTTCTTCATAACCTGCCAAGGGTACTGACAATATTGTGGCAAGAACAAATGTCAATTACTTCAAGACCTAAATACATGGAGATCTAGCATTTTGCTATTTACATAAAGTTCCAACCCCCATCAGTTTTGAAGTGCTAGGGAAAAGGAATATTTAAATCTATCTTCTCAACATCCCAAACAGTTTGAATTGATACAAGCAGGTATTGCAACGTGGTTAAAAATGCAGTTGATTCTCGATACAATGTCATTTCTATGGTGTACATATACAAAAAGGCCTCAACAAAGTTAAGGTGAAATCATCCTTTCTCTTTCTTTGTACAAGCTTTTTAACGGAGGAAAGCGAGCTTTGAAGGATTGCCATTAGACAGAATGAAGTTCCAAAAATTAGTGATACCAATAAAAATAGAACAAACTGATGGATGAAATGACTAAATAAAAATTGTAAAAAAAAAATACAATAAAAGAAGTCCAGAAGTTAAAAAAAAATGTGTTACCTTGAGCTCTAGCAATAAAACCCATGATCGATCTCTAGAGTTGAGGCTGAAAAAAAGATGCACTTGCTCCAGCCACAAACTACGCATATAATTTAAAGTCAAAAATTATAGTAACAGGAAAATGAAAGAAGAGATATAAGATGAGCAAAGGTGGAAAGCAGTGGTAATAAGGTTGAAAGAAAGGATGCGTCAAACATGCAGACCCCGGTTCTACTTCACTAAGCCCCGTCCTTGAACAAGGAGGAAGCCACTCCCACCAGATTGAATCACCTTTTTTTTAGTAAGCCTTGCTTTTTAAGACCGACGAAGGAGCTCAACAAAGGTCACCGGGCTGCTCATGAGAAAAGATAGATGCATAGCATGCACCTTCCTATGAATATCCACATTTGCTTTCCAAATTTTCCTTTTGTTAAGCAATTTGACTCTAACAATATAAACACGTGGGGCAGCCTTGTGTGATGGAACCGAATGTTAGTCCAATTCACAAAGCTAGTGGATACATAATTTACTTTTGATCATATATAGCTTTTCAAAAAACCATAATAAAAAAACTCAAAATTTTCATGTGGAACAAAGTAGATTCATCTTCAAGTATCAATAGCTGCCAATATGTATTGTTCCCTTTAGTACAAAACCAAATAATGAATCTGAAAACCACAGTGGATAAGTATAAGTGGAATATTATACGTGGCATATACCACTGAAATAGCAGAAAATAAAATGCAACAAATAGCATAATTTCCCATACTTAAAGGTGATCCAACCCCTCCCCAAAATGTTCACACACTTTACCGTTGCCCAAGTTGCAATATGNGCAACAAATAGCATAATTTCCCATACTTAAAGGTGCTCCAACCCCTCCCCAAAATGTTCACACACTTTACCGTTGCCCAAGTTGCAATATGCAACAAGACATACAGCTGCTATACTGACTCAGATAATTTAAAAGGGCAGTGCACAAGGCTTCTGCTGCTGCAGAGTCTGCAGAGGGTTTTAAAATTATGATGTTTATCCAGCAGTCAAAGGTTGCAGGGTCCAGCCTTGTGGATAAGACAAGAATATTAGAAACAACTAATGTGAGCTTGTTGGTTCTACAATTTCAATCTAATACCAATTGACATCTGACATATGGAACTTGGAATTTATCCGTTCAAAACAAGCAAGATTCATCTTGTAATCAAAAATAATTTTAACTCAAAAAGGATAGAAGTAGCCTCAAACAACTGAGAAACTCACTGATGTCTCTTGATAGCATTCAGAAGTCGACTAACCATCACCGGGAAGGAGATATTAATAGTCTGCACTTGAAAATAGCGATAGCAAATTTCAAGAATAGTAGAAGATGATAACAGAGTGCCAAAAACTAGAGTTTAAGGAAATTGAAGTCCTAGTGGGTGCTGTAGTACTAAAATGTAAAATGCAGGTACACAGAGTGAACAAACTAATTAGATACCTGAGACTGCATGCAAACTTCTTCAACATCACTCAACTTGAATCTTCTAAGATTGCATGGCACAGAAATCTCTAAGGCATTCTTAAGCCAATTCAATCCATCCACTAATGAGCTCCACAACGAACAGGATTTATAAATGGCAGGGAGGGGGCCAGTAACCTCCAATAACATCTCAACTTCCTACAACAACATAGCTCATCAAGAATATAGGCAAACATAAAGATAAGAAATAGGATATTTAGAGTGAAATATGCCACACAATCAAGGAGACCATGTAATGTTTGAATTCACGATCAGTCACCTCAAGTGCGGGAGCGATGGCACAGAAAGAAAGGGCCTTAAAGCACCATTGAAGCATAGAACAAGCATCTTGAAGTTTTGGAATCACACCAAGGTCAAAACCAAGAGATAAAATAGCTTTTAGGGCAGATTCCATTGCAGCAACTTGATGCTCAATTCTTGAAAGAAGACCGCTGGAAATTCCATCACCAACATTTTCAATAATCAATAGGCTTTCTGCATCATGCAGTAAAGAGCACGCATCCTGCTCCCATTTCAAGCAATTATTTAAAACTGTTTGAAGCGTAGATCTTTCTCTCAAAGATATCTTCAGTAGCTTTGACTGTGAGACTAAGTCCTACAAAATACAACATATCATTATATGTGTGTTTCTTCACTGTTAGACAAACACAATTATCCCAGGAAAGGATGGGAACCTTCAGTGCGTCAACTTTAAGCAAAGAACTTGAGGAAAGCGCCACAGGTATGTCGTCAACTAAAAATGGCTTGGACTTATTTAACCATGACTTAGCCATTGATATTGCATCCTTGACATCATCAAGGGATGGTAGAATAGCACATATGTCCTTAGAAGTCCTGGAATATTGACACTAGAAGTTGTAACAGTAGAACATAAGCTGCAGAACACGAGAAGCGACAAATAACAGGTGCAATATAAGCTAAACCTCAAAAGATCCTCGAAATCAGACATCTGAGCCTCACTTGCAAGAATATGCTTTGCCTTTTCTTCCCAACATATACCAACTGCATGCAGTCCAGAAATTTCAGCAAACAATTTCTCTTTCTCAACCTGCAATCNTTGCAAGAATATGCTTTGCCTTTTCTTCCCAACATATACCAACTGCATGCAGTCCAGAAATTTCAGCAAACAATTTCTCTTTCTCAACCTGCAATCTGGCATATATTGGCATGTGAAAGTCAAAATTTTGAAAATGTAAAGAGAAAATCTTAATTGTTCTTAATCTGTAAGAAGCATCAAACCAAGGAGCATACAAGCTTGCCTCCCTCAGTAGTGTCTGGATGAAGTCCAACGACATTTTGCAACGAAGTACCTGTAAAGTTGCATGAAGTGATCAAATTTTATCGCATAAATTAGGGAACACAGAACAAGAAGCACCAAATCAGAGTTGTGAATGATGAACCAAACCCATTGAGAACACAGAGCATTTCTTAATCAAGAAGATTCGAGGAAATGGAATAAATCTAAAAAGTAGCAGCACACAGCAGAGTGAAAAAGATGAAATGCATTTTGTCACCTTGCGGGCTTTTACCCTGCAAAGGGCCTTCTTTAGGTCAACTTCAAGGTCCTCAAAAAAAGGCAACACATCAACTACATTAAGAAAAAGAAATTAAGCCACACTAACAAGAAAAAAATAGTGGGGATCTCCCAGTGACATTAAACACACATTCCTAAAACAAACAGAATCTGCAAACACTGGTGACAGAACCTCGAATTTTTAACAACTCTCCATCTCTTTTGATGCATTGTAACTCATCAACAACATTTTCTTGATCATCCCGGTTATGAAGATTCACGAGAACATCATTAACACGTGAAACCCAAGACTCAGCATCTGTGTGATATTGCCTCAGAAGCTCTAGTTCCGGAATTTTAACAGGAAAACCATCCAATTCAAGAAGCAGCAATTCAAGTTTCTGCACAGATTAAAGGGTGCATCCCACCCCATTAGGTTTTCAATTCCACGGATCCTTCAAAGAAAAAACTTATTAGAATATCTATAAGGCACAACCTTTAGGCAAATAGAACCTTTCAACATCTCATTGCACCGAGACCGGCATGATTCAGCTTGCTTTATCAAATCCAAAAGCATTTCAGCCTCAGGTACTTGAACTTGAAGCTCCAAAATCTGACAAACATTAATAATGCAAAGAGGTATAAACTTAAGTACAGAAGACAGAGAAAA